TCTCTCTCTCTCTCTCTCTCTCTCTCTCTCTCTCTCTCTCTCTCTCTCTCTCTCTCTCTCTCTCTCTCTCTCTCTTGTGTTTGATTTTGTCTTGTCACGTTATAATATCCTATTGTCTGTAAATGTTCGAAGGGATAGACAATAGCGGGCACGGCCGGCTGCGGGTAAAAAGATACTACATCCCGGGTGCGGGCGGGCAATGATTTTCTAGCGGGTGCGGGTGGGTCTAGGTGAACCTTTTTTACGGGTGGCGGGTGGGTTGGGCGTGGGCTGAAAAATTCAAAAAAATGCTTGGGTGGGTTGGATCATCTTCAAACCTTCTTTTTTTTTTTTTTTAAGGGTTGCATGTACTAAGAAAATTTTGGGTGGGTTGGGTGCAGTTGCATTTCGAAAAAAAAATGCTCATCTCTGCTCCATATGGTCTCATCACTTATTTGTGGGACTCCTGGCCTAGTATTCATCGCTGCTCGTAGAATGCAAAGCACCTCGCCCCCTTGTTCATCCCCGAAAGGCCCCATCTCTAGAAAGGCCCGATAGTACTCTCGATACATTATCGCTTCGTCAAAATTTAGCCTACTTATGGCAGTTACCGCCTGCTCCACTCGTTTTATGCCTCCCATTCGTCTTAGCAGGAAGGGCGGCAGACTCATCCGTACGATCTCATTCGACAGCTCAAAGACCCCTGCTGCGGCGACTTTTACCTCAACCGTCACGTCATCTCGTTCCGGATCTGCAAACTCAAACCCCTCCCGCCAGGTTATTTGCCATGCTCCTTCTAACATTCGCACGGGGTCATCCCCGGGCCATCCCCGGAAGCCAAAGCAATCCCAAAGGTCCGCCATCCCTCTTTCGACAGGTGTAAGGATCCCGTCGCGTGTGCACGCCCTGGGCGGTTCAAGTCTACGCCCCCGAACTCCCCTCTCGCCCGCCATTCTAGCTTCACTACTAGGTAGACCATATCTTCCACCAACTCTACCCCCACCCAGTCCATTACCGGATTGCCTACCGTATTTCTCGCCGGCAAGCTTATTTCGACCCCGCCCTCTGATATTCTTGGTGGCAGGATCCCACGAGGTCTATCCGCCCAGAACGTCATTCGCCGGGCCATCTCGCAATGTCTCCTTTCCTGCTTTCTTAGTCCGATCGCTGCACCCACCGAGATTCCATGCCTTTCGTGTTTTAGTCTTTCAACCCTCCCTACTTATCGTACACTGGTTCATGCCGCTATCCCCAACTCATACACGTTCAATTCTACCCGACCCACATTTTCCAGTTTCTGTCACTTCCCCCTTGTTTCGATCCTTATGCACCATCTACGGCCTAATGTACACATTCCCTTTCTTATGTTACACCTTACTTCACAAGCACCCTCCATACTCATGCCTTTTCGCTATGTTTGATTCCTTGGCCTCATTCAGTCGAACCACAGTACCTCAAGTAGTTTAAAGACGTCGTCTACGTAGGAGGGTGCAGCCTCCGCCTCCCGACTAACTATGGCGTCCCAAGACTCCGCCTCTACCTCTAGGTGGTCATACCTGCCTATTCTTAGGACGATGATGACTTCCTCGGCTTTATCCCCGTTGAAGGGGCCATATTTCAATGAGAGCCTATAGAACTCCTCAGTCAACCAGACACACTCTATATGCACCTTTCTCATGGAGTCGGCTACTTCTAAAATGTGCTCAAACCCTCTAAACCACTCGGCTACGAATTCCGGTACCCAAGCCGTTATCCGTAGACTTGGGGGCTTGAGTTCCTTTCATCCTCCCATCACAACTCTGCTACTAACTTCGTTCCATCCCTCGTTGGCGAACAGCTTGCCTTCCTCTCGGGTTCGGGCCTCTGCATCCCCTAGAAGCCACATCGGATCCTGTCTCATTGCTAACATGATGCAAAACAGGTGCCATCCATCCTTGGAAAGGACAATCGTTCCAACTGACTCTACCTTGCCTTCTGCTATATCATCCCAACCTTCCTCTTCCCTTATCGGGTTCCAAATCCGCTCAATCCATACATATGACAAGTCCCCGGCAACCTCAAACCTAATCCAGTCGCACGTGGTCCCTCTCCATCCGTTCCCTGTTGGTATAGGCATTTCTATTCCTCCTCTGAATCGTCGTGGTTCCCAGCCTTTGAAGGGGTTTTCCATCATCCTTTCTTCTCTAGTCATTTTTCCCCTTTCCTGCACAATACCAGACCACCCGTCCTCCCTAAGTTAAGTCACCCTACCCCTCTTAGAAGTCCCAGTCCTCTATCTCTTCATCTTCATCTTCATCATTGAAGTCGTCCTCCTCATCGTACACCAACTCCCTTACCCCATCTAGGAACGCCTCCCCTATTGCCACATTCCTATAGGCTATCCCCCAATGCACAGCGCTAGGAACAAAGATATTGTCTATGCTAAAACAGTTTAGTATCTCGGCTAGCTCGTCCGCCCAGTTCCCCTCGAACGGCCCCATCTCTACCGAGAACCGAAAAAAATCTTGCCTAGCGCATTGGTATAGCCCGAGGTTCGTCATGGACTGGCATATCCGTACTAGCCTGCTCCGCGTTCCAAAAACTGCATCCACTAGGAAAGGGGGCAGCACACATCGCATGGTTCTTACGGGTCGCCTCACGCTTCCCCTATCCCCAAGTTCCACTCGCACGTCTACCTTTTCCATTTCCATTTTCCGCCGCTGACATGCAGTCCACACAATCTCTGCTTCTGCCTTCCTAAACAATTCGTCCGGCGTATTCCCGAGTGCCAACTCTATGATCATAGCTCTCTCCCCACCTTGCGACAAGTAGACCCACCCCCGGGTTTCCACTGTCCCTCAGAATTTCAAATCCATTAAACTTGGTGACAACCTCGTCAAGCTGACATTAGTCCATATTGTTTCTATCTAAAGGAAAGCATCCTCTCCTTCCAGCATTACTGTTTGATACGTTGGTTCAAGGTCCGTCCATGTTCCATTTTCCGGGAGGACGACCGATACCCCATCCTTTACGTCTACTGGCATCTCTGGACCGCTGGTATAAGTCGGGGGAGACAACCATCACGTCATCTTGTTTCCAGCACCCAGCCCCTGTTTTCATGAAAGAGTACCAACCGGTTCTTCTAGTCAGGCCAACCCCTTTTCCTAATTGAGGATTATTTCAGACCCCCCATTAATGTCTCCCTAATTTACCTTCCCATTCCTAAGTACCCCTTTTCCCATAATTTCCTCGGTCGGTCATCTATTTGCCCACATTCTTTCTCTTGGTTCCATTCCAATTGACCTCTATCCTTCTTCCTTCCGATCATCTCTCACTCGTGTGGACTTAGAAGGGAGGGGGAATAGACTTAGAAGAATACCCGTCCAACAACCCAAGCTCAATCAATCTTTATGGGGGAGGGTACAAAAAAAATCAGGCAATCTCATATACGGGCCGGTCATCTCCTCACCGGCCATCCCAATATGGTCTCTCCGCTGGTACTATCGGTAGGGTTTTATCCCATACCTCAAGCACAGCTCAACCGTCGCGAGCGCGGTACCCAGGTCTCAGCAAGGCTTTCGCCCTTTCCTCCTTACCCAGAATACCCCATCCCGACTTGCCGCTTGTGTACACACCGTTAATCTCGGGAATCACCCCGCACATCTCGGTAGGGCTATTGGAGCCAGCCGTCCAGGCATTCACTTCCATCGGTCCGATAAGGAACAATTTTTCCCAAACCATGCTACGAGAAGCTCTCAATCGCTTCCGAGGCTCCTTCCTTGCCCCATATGCAGTGGTCCCCCTGCCGTCTGCCGCCAAGCAGCCGCCTCGCCTGAAGAGGTTTACCTGGGCAAGATCATCGAGCCATGCTCGGACCGCTCCGGTGAGAATGCTACTAGTCAGCCGACGAGACCAACCCTTGCCTGACAGTCCGGTGGTCCAACCCCCACACACGGAACCCGGTGAACTTCAAAGAGGACGACCAGCTCGCATCCCGCACCGGCCGGCGCAAACCAATCCTTTCCTTCCAAATGGCAGAACGCTCGAAATCCCAATCATGCAATCACAAGTCTCAAGTGGGACACACATAGTACAAGTGCCTTCCCCTTGGTGCACCCAGCGCTTCCTACCCATAACTCACAGATTTTCTCTGAGGACAATGAGTGTCACTCCCCCTACTTTCATGCATAGTGGTTGGTTCCTTCTCGTGAGAGTCTTCAAGGGTGAGCTAGTTTTCCTTGGAGTCTAGCAAATACCTTCATTCCCTTCTCTTCACTTGTCTGTCCTTTCATAGGGTAGGATTGTTCTTTCTTGATAACCCGTTGTACTCATATTGGTTCCTTCAGTCATTAACAAAAAGTGCAAAGTGCATGAGCCCGCTGGGTTCAAAAAGAAGAAGGGGAAAGCACCCATTCGGTTGGATCACTCCGCCATGGGATTTTCATTGGAACCTGCCCTAAGCCAAGCACCAACCGCCTGCCAGGGAACTGGAGCCCTTCTTTCATACGAAGAGGAAGGGTCGACCTGCGACTTGCCCAAGGCTTCCCCGGACTGGCGAACACCAGCACCGGACGAAGGAGGGTTAAAGCCATTCCTCAAAGGAACGGCTGATCAAGTGCATAACATGCATGTTATACCACCAGGTCTGGCCATGCCATGCGCCCAACCACCCTCAAATCTGATTTCTCACAAGGGAAAGAGCAAACACAAGTCCATTTTTCTTATCTTGGGTTGTGTACACGTCAATGCGTCGGGCGCCCCCGTCGGAATCGCAAGGGTCAATTTAACCCCATACCCGACATCTCCACCATTTTTGTAGGGCCAAACCCCGGTAGACTTTCAAGCCTTAGTCGACCCCACTGCGGGTCCCAGTTGGCTCGGCCCGCCCACACTCATGCTAAGGGCGTGGGCCATTCGTCCCAAGGTCACCCCCACCTAGTGCTTTGAGATGGATGGGCGTGGGCCATCGCGCGAGAGAGCTTTGACATTCGGGATGTAGCTCAGCCCTCACGCCGGGTGGTAGTCTCGCTGGTCGTTCCGCAACGCTGATTTTTTTTTTATTCTTTATTGTGTTCTCAAGCAACTGCTCCTTCCAATACGCAGGCAGTCCAGGGGTTCCTTGAGCCTTTCTCTTCTCTTGTGCGTAGGCTAAGCGTCATCCTTAGGCCACACACCATTTCCCTAAGCATTTTGGCTATATGACGTCATGTGGGTGCGGTGGGGCCGTCCTCCCCCTCGCCTCTACGCATCCATCGGATCTCTCAATCTGCTTCCTACCTTATTGAAGTAGGCCCCTTAGTCTTTTCGGGGTCCTCATATGCATGCACACACAACATCACTTTTTCCTTGACATGACAGTACTATCATTTGCACCCCAAGTCTTCAAACGCACAAGTCATATCCATGGGGTAGTTCTATGTCAAGGGTCCCATAGCCCCTACGCCCTCTTCCCTTTCCCTCTTAATGCTCGGTTCCACTTACCCCTATCCCGCTCAAGGCATCTTTATCCATCACTTACCTGCACAATCCCACACAAACAAGAAGATCCATACAATCCCCCATCGGGGGTCAACACATAGCCCTTCCCACATGCCTATTCTTTCAAGTCCTTTGGCTGGTTATTGTTTCCTCTTGTTGTTCAATCAGCCCATTCTCTTCTCATAGTCATGCAGTCAGGGAGATGGTTGAGTCAAACTGACCTCACTTTCAACTTATGCTTTCTTCCGGATTCCGCCTCTCCCACTTCCTTTTTTGGACGTCCTCTCTTTTGCCTTCTTGGTGGCACAAGGGACCGGCTACCCCCCCCTTGTCCTCTTTCTCCACCAAGTGAGGTTTGATTTCATTCTCCGCTCGTGCCCTTGCAATGTTTTCCAAGTGAGGGGGGGGGAAGGGTTAGTCATATGCTAAGTGAGGGGAAGGGAGAGAGAGGGCCAGATGATGATGCGAGAGAGAGAG